CTCATAATGTGCAAAAAAAGTTATTGCGACGTCTGGCACGAAAGAAATTCATTTAAATAATTTCAAATACCGCTACTACATGCACTGTTAGAACCACTCCCCAGTAACACCTAAAATGCTAGGGAAAAAAGACCTAAATTTTGCTAAATTGAATGTGGATGACTCAAACGCAAATACATACATACATGCGAACATACATGCACACATACACGCATACATACATATATACCTACACACACACACACACACCCTACAAACACACATACACAACCTACGTATGTATACAAAAATAACTCCTCGATAATACGTGCTCTTGTACTTGCATAATAAGATGCAAAAATGCATAAAAAACGAACTTGTGATCCTCTTGGATTGGTTCAACTTTTAGCCGCTTCTCATATGCCACTCCATCGATCAGAAAATCGGATGGCCGTTTGAGAACATTATTTGGTGTGGCTGTGCTGACCGCACTGACAGCAGCAGCAGCAGCAGTGGGACACACCGAAATACCGGTATCATTCATCCAAGACGAAGTTGTGGCAGTTGTAGCAGCTGCACCAGTAGTAGCAGCAGCAGCAGCAGCAGCAGCAGTACTTCCTTCGGTAACAACTGTTTCACTGGGAAAGGCACCAATTCTGGTTAATGATCGTGCGTGACGCTGAAAAAGCAAAAACTGAAGAAATTAAAATTTCGGAAATGAATTTTTTTTTGGATCAAACATCAAAAATCTAACACCAAAATCACCGTAGAATCATCGAATAAATAAAAATTCAAGACAAATGTAGCAGCAGTATACATGATAGGGAAAGGTAGTGGTATCATGCGCTTCTGCGACATGCTGCTACGATTGATTACAGTGGATTTTGTAGTGGTAAAAACTCTGTGAATGTTACAAATGAGGACAGCTTTCGGGTCACATGTGAGGGCAAGGGGAACAACTTTGCAAATTTTCAACCTCCCAACTTGTCCGGTTTTCCCACCAAAAAATTTTTCGAATGCCCACAAGTGAAGACGCGGAAGTTCGTTTTACGTCTAGGGACCCAGTTCTTTTGAATTGATAGTCTTCCCTTAACTTTGAAATATTTTGGTTCACCAGTAAACACTTCACTGAGTTGCCTTCCATACTTGCATTGTTCGCATCACTGCTACTTATATATTACATTTCGTAAGTTTTTCCAAAAAAAAAAAATACTTTTCGTAAGATAAAACAAAGTGCACATCAGTGTTACGTAGGCGGCAAGCAAAAAGTGAGAGTTGATGGCCTTAAGAAAATGCCTCCTGGTTACCTCAAAATCATCTTCTCCTACGCCAATACAGTTTATGTGAAACATGCACCAAGTACCACCTCGAATTTGATTTACTTGAATAATTCCCGCAATAATAAAATATTTTCCCGCAAACAAGGGCAACACTACGGCGCAGCAAAAAGGGCAATCTCACTGAAGAATTGCTAACACCGAGGAGAGAGGAACAACGGCAGTGCGGCGCACATACACTCTCGTGCTTCACTGATAACAGGTTTTTGTTGTCACAACTCTCGCCCAGAAACAAAATTAAAGGGAACCAAATTAGAGCAGCAGCAGCTGATGACGGGCGAGCGATGCACGGGGGGAAGCAGTAGGACTAGGGGAGCCGCCGACGGAAGGAAGACGGGGAGAAGCAGGGGGGGAGGGGGGAGGGAACTGCAAGTACAAAGAACAAATCTATATAATCCGCAGAATTTCAGCAATCCTCTCTCCCTCTCCCTCCTGCCGTCTCCCCCCCCCCCCCCCCCCCCC